GATTGGATGTCGCTGGACATAAGTCTCTGTTATATTGTGCGATTTCCTCAGTTACATAATAGTGTATTTCTCACAAAATTGCATAGATGTCGTAGATGAAACTCTCTGTTACAAAATGGTAATTTAAAATGTTTATAACATCTTTGGAGATGCCTGAAAATCAATGGAAGTCAGTACTTTTTATTAATTGCCCGTGCGACTTCATTCATTTGCTCTGCAGGCAGAGCATTTTGGAAAGGGCCGGCCTTTGGCTGGCCACATAATATAATTTAAACAAAATAGTCACTGTCGATTATTTCTAAGTGTTGACATTTAGTAGACATTATATAATATGCACTTTTCGTATACAGTTTACTGAATGTATTATATGTATTATTATAGGTGGTTCAAACGTTGTTAGTGAATGGCGTTACAGAAAATCCTGTTTTTAGATTTTTAAAGCATTATGTTTTTCAGACGTAAATCATTGAGATGTTAATTTACCTAATATTTGTTAGATCAGACTAAACTTCCACTTATTATGATTCCATACAATAAAATTTATAATTAACTAAATTTTAGACACTAATTCTATATTTTTAAGCACATTTTTTTAATTAGTTCTTATTTCTATAAGAATATTTTTTTATTCATAAATTGAATAAAGTTTTGTTATTGTATTATTACTGAAATAGATTCAAATAGAAAGTTTTAGATTTTTTTTATTAAATAAACTGTACACGGCGTTATTATACTTCATTTATTCGGTGATGAAAACCCGATTGAAATGGAAAATTTTAACTCAATTTTTCCAGAAATTGGACACGGCGCTTTGCTATTAATCTTTTCATTGTCCAAGGGACAAAATCAAATCATGAACAATCAAACTACATCCTGCAACCACGATTGTTGCATTGGATTGTCACATCAAATCCATCGGTTTATGGAAACTCCAAACCGAATGTCTATAGTCGTAAAAAAATTGCTTTTCCACCTGCCGACGGATCAGAATTTTGTTTTTTAATGAATTGGTCCCATTGGGACCATTACACTATGTTTTCTGTTTGGACCCATAAAAACGTCGGTTAGTGTCACGTGTGCGAATGTGTGCTATAAAACATAGTTATTACACGATCCAAGCCCAACTTCATCCTCTTTCCATCCCCCATACATATATATATATTTTTGATCCCCGTGCGACCATCGATTGGATCGATCTGCCCTAAAGGACATCCCTTTCGCGGCGAATTGTTATCCTACGCTTATCGCTGAGAAAGGTAGTCCAAGGTCGGATAATAAGTATCTTTTAATAGAGACATGCTGCTTCTCTGTTTACGATGGATTTGCATTTCCGTGCTGCCCTTTCATCCCCGAAGCGAAATACACATTTCCCCCTAAAATCCAATTACTTATTTTGTTGTAACACGTGTAATTTCCATCGAACGAAACCTAATGGAATTAACACGAGGAGTCCTGATTCCACTCACTTAACAACCCTTTCACTATTAGTCATAAATTTCTATTGTTATTAAGTTACCAAACTAATGTAATAATCACTGATGAAACTAACAATAATAAGTCCAGCTTTACAAAACCCAACAATCCAAAATTAAATATATTTATCTCTTATATAAATTATTGTTACGTTATATCATAGTAGATTTCTAACTAACAGATAGTGTTTTCAATGTTTGTGTTGTAACTATATTAGATTTTAGTTATAGCAAGAGCATGTAACACGACTAACATATGGCTGTAATTCATGAGGTATTACGTTACTCCGTTGCATAACACACGCTTAATTTAAATTAAGCTCCCGGCAATTTAGGCTTAATGGTATTTCGAGGCGTTTACATGAAACTACAAGAAAAGTTGCTGACGTTTTAATGACCAAAAATAAATAATTATAGAAACATAAATGTATAACCATTTGTCATCAAAACTGTATGTTAATGGCGGGTCAATATCTTAGGTTTTAAATGGTTTAAAAATTAAATATAGGACAATATTTCATCGCCGTTTGGGAGATAGTGCAGCAACTTTAGATTATATTAGGCATTTCCAACTTTAACCCAGAAAGTTTGGAAGAAAGAAAAAGTATAGTTACACATATATGTATTAAAAAAATAAAAGAAGGTTATTTGAAGGTCAAAAAGAACAAAATCAATCACGTGGGGGGAAACTTCCCCCTATTTCGATATAAGTTTAAAAATAGTTGTATTGCCTCCCCTTAATCAAACCCCTATCTCCGTGCATCCACCCCAACGTTTACCGTGGCGCATGGATCTCGCCCGCCGGCTTTGTGGGTTTCATAATGCAAATTGCAGTTACTTTACGGTGCGGATACAAGGGTGCACTTGTGTTTTAATCAAGCGGCAATAGTGAATGGGCTTCAAGAAAGCGGAATTAACTGGACGAGAAGATGATGAGAGAGAAAAAAAATATGAAATTGAAAAAGAACGACGAACGATTCCTTTGACGTTTAAAAAAATATTGCAAAAAATGTATATATGTATACGTTTTTTAAAGGGCTGAATGTGATCGTGCGCGGTAGGGGTTGGAAGGCATTTATCTTTATTAAAGTTGGGTTATTATCATGGAAATGAGTGGGATTTTATAAAGAATCGTTCGGACAATCTGCGCTTCAGGGTACAGGAGAAACTTCTTGAACTTATTTATATTCTATTTAAATGGCGCGTGCGTCTAATTTATGGTCGAAGTTTCGGTGCTCTCGTTTTGTTCTACTTTTGGTTATATATTTTCTTTCGTTTGCAGGAGATGTGCTTACCTTTTCTCCGTACTCGCCTTCCACCGCGACGGTGGATACGTACTTCCAACCAAGCTCTTTGATGATGCTAACCATGGCTTGAGCTTGGAAACTGTCCGGAGGTACTACTCTGCTGAAGTACTCGAAGCGGGATTTGTCAGATAGCTCGGTACTGGTCGAGGCATAGCTGATCTGCGGTACCTGAAAATAATTAAAACATATAATTTCAGTAAAAGAAATCAATATTTTAAAACAATGTTTGGGGACCCTTGGGTAAAAATGTTAGGGGCCCTTGACTAACACTGTCTGTACTAACTATGGTAGATATGGATTAAAATGTTGTATTCATATTTCATACAATTTCACAACTGATATATTGTTGACAGGTTTACAAAGTTTCAAAGTGTTATAGCGATGACAGTGAAATTCCAGCGTTAGCAGCATTAATAGTGTATACTTTAATACCTACTTATGCCTCTTTTCTTGCACGTTGTGATCAAGGCAAGATAAGTATTATATATACAAAATACAACTTTTAATAAAAATAAATTTATACATGGAATCAATATGTTATTACTAAAATGTTGTAATTTATATTTAGGTATGTTATATATATTTCGGAAATGGAGTAAGTAGAGAGGTGAAGTTGGAGATAACTATTAAACTACTTTACAGCTCCGAGCACATTGATATCTCCAATAAATTCAGCAATGTCGTAAAAGGTACTCCACTAGGGATGCACTTTAATTTTCAGTTTAAAGACATTATTAGCAGACCAAACTCCCTTTGTGTTTCAGCAGCTGTGCCCATAAAAACAAAGATCATTTAAATTGAAAATATTATTTGAAACCGCTTTTTATGATATGCCTTCTAAAAATGATACATAAAGAATACGAGTTTAGATATGAGATAGATTTAATAATTATATATATTGCTTAAATGTTTGGTCGGAATATTTTTGTTGGAATGAAGCCAATATTTCCCAATATATTAAGTAGTAAATGGAGTATCGGAGATTGCAACAAATCGAAAGGAAAATAAAAAAAAGGTGAGTTGTATGTATTCGCTGAAAGAATTCCAGCATCCTGTCCGAAGGACCAAATATGTCGAAACTCCATTACGTCGCTTCCTGTTTCGGGGCTCGACTTCCTCATAACTTGATCGCGTTTAATATGTGCAAACGATATTAACAATTCTGTCCAGATTTACCAGCCGTCAGCTGGACGTAATTGGATCTCGTGGATGATTGACGCAAAATGTTTCCGAACAAAAAAAAGCACGTGTCTATATTTCTTTTGTTCGAGAGGACTATAAAATAAATACAAATCTGGTTAGGTATGAGGTTAGAAGATTGCTTTCCTGAAAAATACACAATGACCTATATTTTATCTTATCAAGGATTAAGAAAAATAAGAATAGTTCTAGAAGTGAGTCCTTTTGTTTTTTTATAGTTATAAAGTGTTAGGGATAAGGCTGTATGCATATTATGCGTGAGTCATAAATAAAAGTATGCTGTAGCAATTAGTATGTAGCCACGTCTTTAGTATTATCATATTCAATGACAATTAATGAATGACAACTTATGAAAGTTAAGACAAGTAACAGTTAGTTAATAAGCAGTTAAAAACAGAGTAAGTTGGTACAATAGCATTAAGACTTATGTCACTTTTATGTAGTACATAACTACTTTACTCTACAAAGTCATATATTACAATATCACCAATCTTTATAAAAACTAAAGCACACGTTGCTTAACTTTCTTTAAATTGTAAACATTAATTACCATTAAATTCACAATTAGTAATAGTAAATTATTCAACAAAGAAATGTCTGGTAAGGAAGGAAGGATTGAAAAATTTATTACTACAGAGATTATTGCAAACCAAAAAAATAGGTAAGTGCTAAAGTGTTTAAAAGTTTGGTTACTACGTGAAATCATTTATCATGATGTCTCATTAAGAACTTAGAACATTAAAATGCAATTTACAGAGAAAACAGTATGCGATACTGAGGCTTTTGGAGGTCTGTACTAGTGAGGAAAATCAATAACATACAGTTAGATGCAAGTTGCACTCTTTCTCTATAAATAATTTGTAAGTTGATTTAAAGAATATTATTAAATATTAATACAATTTCTATAATCCTATAAATATTTGTAATAAAATGTATAGTATACATAAAAAAATATTTGTGAATGAATAATTTTATTTTAATAAAATTTTCTGATGTCTTCTAAATAATCATCTTGTGCTTTAATGGAAATAAAAATCCCATTATAAAATCAAAAGTTACGGACAAAAATAACACGTTGTGATTATTGGAATTCCATTGAGAAGATATGTTTATTATGTGGTAACGTAATCTGAATTTTCCACACCGACAATCAGGACGGATTGTAATTTAATACGGGCTGCCTATGTGGAATAATAATAATAAAAATATTTGCGAGTATGTGGGTACCTGGGTGTATATCTGTGACTATGTGTGTGTGAATGTATGAGTGAGATGTAAAAAAATCCCCTACGTTGTGGCTTTGTGTGGGGGGTGAACGTTTGGGCGGATTTTTGTTATTTATGGGGGGCATTTAAAATTTATTTTCCTGTGCCGTAGATACGAGGTCCCAAATGTAATGGGCGATAAACAACGGACACAACTATGGCATTAGTCTTTCAGACTTATTTTTATTATTCGCGGTTATTATTGAAACACGCGATGAAAATCACTCGATTATCCGTGAATAAACAGGAGAGAACGAATAAGCAATAAAACTGACATACTAGCATAACACGAACAAATTAAACAAAAGCAACAATAACAAACAAAAAATAACAACATGGGCATTGCATGTTGGTACTTTTTGCTATTGTAAAATTTGCTGGACAAACGACGATGAATGTTTCATAAAATATTTTATTATTTCATAACCTTCAAATTCAAATCAATTTGTATAATCATAATATTCATTATTCATATTGAATTTCATAAAAGTAACATTTAACCTTTGAACTTATTTTTCGATAATGAATGCAATAAGAAAAATACACAAAACCTATAATTAAATATATAGCGTATATTAATATAATGTAAAAGCTTATCATAAGTAATGAAGTTACTTAATATATTTAGTGTTGACAATTCTATTCGAAAATGATATGATGTGAATTTGATATGGATAAAAACTGACTAAAATACTAAACGAATTTGTAGAGTTTAGTATTACTTACTTAGTACATTTAAGTTTAAGTTATGTAAGAATTACATAACATGTTGGGTTTAGTTATCTAAGTATTGACAATACTACTTAAAATATTGGTATTCAATTTATTAAAGTTTTGATAAGAAGTCAGCATTAATTTTAATACGTATTTGATTATTTACAGCTCTCTAACCAAACTTACGTAAAAATATCCATACGAACGTATAATTTTCTCGAATTATGAAAGTGTTGGTGACAACCAACTAACGTACAAATATCCGTACGATTGTATAATTTATATTACTTTGTAGAAAATATTTATTTAACTTTTCTCATGTTATCAAATAAAAAAAAATAGTTATACATTTGAAACTTATGAAATAAGTTATAGCATTAAAGAAATACAAGAACCTTTTGAAAAGGATGGTGGCTCATTTCGGGGATCGCTTTAAAACAATGTCCCGTAATAGCTGCTCATCAAGCCGTAAGCAAATCTGATTTTCAAATCGCTTTAGATCAACTTGATTGCATTTCCACCGACAATATACCGGGAGAGTCGCTTTGTGAAACGCGCGCCCTTCGATATTACCTAAGCTGATGTTATTTAATAAACCTTTGGGATCCGGATTGTTTTACAAACTCGGATCGGAACAAAGCCTACAGACAAAATATATCTCACAGGCAGATTGCTTTCCTCTATGAATATTCCCTGTATCAAAGTCTACTGTTGCTGTTTCCGTTTATTATAAGTGTATACACATTTCAATGCATTACAAAATCTTTATATACATTATTACTAATGTCAATCAAATTACAAACAGCCAATTATTTATATAGTTTGTTTAGAAACATCATTTGTAAAATTTAATTTTTATATAATTTTATGTTAGTTTTACTATTTGTCATTTAAATGACAAAATTAGAAAATATTCATGGTTATGTAATGCTCAGAAAATGTACAACAATTGCTAATAAAAATGAATATTGTCTAATTAAATATAATATATAAATGTCAGGATACATAATTTAATTTAAGAAAAAAAAATCATAAAATTTGTATAATAAATTTCCATCAGCATATAATAATTAAGTGGTGTAATTAATAATCGTTTCCACGTAATATTAATTAAGATGTGACTAGAAACCTAACGGAAGAAAATCGATGATCAAAAAGGTCCTGATTGTAATTCCCCGGCGTCGGCCGTACCCTGATCGTCCTTTAGAAACCCAATAGAATCAATTGAAACCAAACAATGTTTTGTCCACAACAAACAAACAATTGTCACCTTTCGAATGTACAGAAAAAAGAAGAATCAACTTAATTCCAACGGTCAATTAAGTGGATCCGAAGAGATGCACGTCACTAATCGTCCATTTAAACTCAAATAAATCACAAAAGAGTTAAAATTTCCAATGAATCCATTCATTTTTTCGAGTCCATTTGTATTTATTTATTTTTATTATTCGCGTTTATTATCGTGCAACAGTGTCCAGGTACAAACCGATGGTTCGGAAAATTCATTTCACATCGAAACGCACACCGTTATAACAGGGTAAAAGCAGAACGAAAATAAAACAAATAATATAAAAAATTGAAATAAACAAAAAGTAAATAAATAAACGAACAAAATTGTGGAATAAACACATTTGCGGCGGTCGACTGTGCAATATTTGCGTTTCATTTTTACACAACGGATTCGATGTCCTTTGTCGCAATTGGCGCAAACCGAATGCAAATAAAACAAAAATTATTGCAGCACCAAAAAAAACGAGAAAGGCTATTGGTATCATTCGATTTTGGTATACGTTCTTTTCGCACCCCGGGACATCCGTTGGGGGTGAAATAACGAAACTCTACCAAAAAAAATCCAATATATAATAGCGTAAAAACATGAAATATTCACTATATATTTCTGTGCATATATTCACTAGAATTTTCTATTTATGTTGGGAAAACTGAATGTTCAAGAGAAGGATTTGATTGATTCGCCTACGAATGTGCGTA